TCAGGGACTGTTTAAAATTTTGGGTGGGCCTGTTCACATTTTGGTTAATTTCATGCCCTGTATAAGGCATGCTGTAATTCAAAAGTATTTATTACAAAAGTACCAGGGGACGATTTCACGAAGCTCTCGTTAAGTTAGTGATGGGTTAAAGAGGGGTTTTAGGATATCCTTACATATAGAGTGTTTCACGAAAGCCTCGCTAAGTTTCCACGTTTCACAAACGTCTCGCTAACTCAACGACGTTGCTACTAAGGAGGAATCTTAAGGACAAGTCAGGGGCAGTACTTAGGCTATCGTACAGCAAGCAATGCAAGATTTCCTGCGTTTTCATTGTTTTGGCAAGCAGTAGTGTAAAGCAAAAACCCGCCGAGAAGGTAACTTCTTTGTGTCTACGAGAATACTGTGCAAGGCCTGTGAAAGGCATGACGCGCAGGGGTTCAGTGTGGCTAAGAAGCTTCTTATTGTGGTAGCAGATTTTAAAGAGATTAAATGCTTCCTTGCACCTTACATGTGCTTCGGCTGTTCGTGTATGTAATTACTGTATCCTATGGCACCAATACTGTATCAAAGTAAACGTAAATCTAAATCTTCAGAATTTATGTTACATTTTTGTTCAGTCAATACGTCATTTGTGGTAGTTCTAGTTGCAGGAAATATGACAACCTTGCTTTAGTTTAATTATTTCTCAGGTACTGGACATTTAAAAATACTTTTACCCTATTATTTTTAGTTTGCACGCTGTTGTACCTACATTTATTAAAACTAAATGACGCGAGAGATTAGCGTAGCAACTCAGTGAGCTGGATCGGCATTAGACTTGTACCATGTCTCTATATATAGACTATCTAGTAGCAAAGTGTAGAGATAGGGTACCAGTCTATGCCGCCAGCAACATCGTTACAGCTGAATTTTAAGGACTGTCTAACAACGCACCGGCATAAGTTTCGTGAAACACTTTAACGAGGGACGTTTAGGACAGCGTTAGGCTCTCGTACAAGAATTCTAAGGATATCTTTAAGATGGTGTTTTTACGATACCTTTGTGAAACGGACCTGAAATTCTGTACACTGAAATTCGTTTCAATTAAGAATCAAGCATTATCGAATTTCAAAAATATTATGGATTTCTTAGGAACTGCATCTCTTAACATACTAAACAGAAGACAATATTATTTTGATTAAAAGGCTGGCATAGAAATGCTTAAATTAACAATGACAAAAATATGTATACACATAGGATAGCCTTTCTACAGTAATATTCCACTGGATCTATTCGGATCTCAAATGTGTTTGCTTAAAAAGTGTTAAAAACATTACAAATCGTTAAAAAAGCTCAAATCAATGGACGCCCTACTCTGAAAAATATCAAAATTTTGATAGCAGCTCAAACTCTGGATTTGTTAGATTGAATAGCCGTAGATTATTTGTTCCCAGTTGAATAGAATCATCTAGGACGAAAAAGTGTTGTTTATGTATTTATGTATGTATAAATGTATATATAACACCTGTATATAGATATATTAGTATATTCAACAAAATGAACACAAACACATAACTTCCGATAATCATAAATCATAAGTGATGTAGTAGTTTTTAAAATGATGGGATACATACGAATACACCGCCAAAATCTCTTGCAGGTCTTATTTTGAAAGTGTACTTTACTTCTTCAGGCTGAGTCACTTTCGAATACAACGCTTCACCAATAGTATTGATATCTCGTTTGAATAACGTTGCACAGATGCTTGCGAGAAAGCAGACACAACACCTGGAAAAATACATTGTATTTAAATACATCTAAAATGACACCAAAACATTAGCCATAATAAAGACAGGCATTTTGCAACATTGTGCAGTTTTACAACCTCATATTATATACCACCACGCTTTCATAGGCAGAAGGAAGTTATTATGAATTCAATCCAAATATCCGTTTAATGATACTTGGCATGCATTATCAGCTTTCCAAATACTTTTAATTACCTTTAATCTTGTAAAAATATCACAACATTAAATGTTAAAACTTCGTCAGAACAGAAACTGTAATCTTGATTTCAATGCACTGGCCAGCAATAATTTCATTGGTCACGACACCTCATAGCTATTACAGTTATAATTTCTGTTATGACAAGTTTGGAAGATTGATATAGTGATATTTTTACAAGATAAAATGTTTTAAGAAACTAGCAATGCACAACACGTTTTGTGATGTAGATAAGCAGGGTTCTCCAAGCTTTTTCATTATAGCATGGGGGTGCTTCCTTAACGGTCCTAGTTGCAAATCGCCGAAGGCGGTTTGCGTGATAGGGGGGTCCGGGGGCATGCCCCACCCCACCAGAAAATGTTTGAATTGTAGAAGCTCTGAGATGCAATCTGGGACACTCTGTTTATGGGACACACTTCAAAGTTTATTCCAATATGTATTAATTGTTTGAACTTCTTGTGTATACACCAGCATGGGGGCTATGATATTTAGAGTGGCGGGGCCCGACGATAGCCTGGCGGGGCCGCCAGGCTATAAGTGCTCTTGGAGAAGCCTGATAAGATGTTAATAAAGTAAGATATGTAGATACTTCCTAGAATTGCAATGTTACACAGCCAGAAAGATTGGAACGTTGTAATACAATAATTGACCACACTTGTTTATGGATGCCTACTGGACCTTAGAATAGCATCAGATTATAAAATTTTAAGGGCACTGCACAATTGATTAGTCTAGCCTCAGTCTAGGCACAAATAGATGCAGACATAGTACAGTAGTAACGCGCCAAGTGACTCCTGCTCGCGTAACCGGCCGAGCAGCCTCGGAGTTTCGCCCGGAGGGGGGGGCGGGGGACTCCATATAGTATATTGCATGCGTAGTGCTATCGGTGCGCAGGAGAGACCCCCATTTGCCAACCCTTAAACATCCGTATCCAGTGCATCGCCATTTTTAAGAATATCTCGTTCCAGAAGCATCACAAAGTTTGTCACGTTACCATGCAATATTCACATTTTTGCCGTTCGGAGACCCTAGTTTTTTAACATTTCCAGTTCCAGTGCATCGTACTTTCAGAATACCGTTGAAAGCTATTGCGGATGCTAATACACACAATTATTGTGTCAAGTGCTACAGCATAATTTTAGAAGCAAATCACAGTTCCCCACAGTTCCGGGACGCGCCCTCTTTGTAGACGTGTTTCATTGCGCGAGTAGCCTGGGTGGCGCATTTCAACGATAGTCCTAGTTTCCGGAGACACCATTGTTCGGGAACAGTGCGGGGAGGTTCGGGGTGCAGGCACCCCAGCCATGTGCAACAGAAACACTAGCTTCCAGAGACGCGCCCATTTGCAGTCTGGGGAGTGTGGTAGTTCTAGACTTCCTCCCATGTTGTATGCTCCGCCTCTGTAGGTGGCCACATTACCTACCATAATTGTGGGTTGTGTTTTGTTGCTCGCCCCCTCCAGAGTCTTTTTGTTTCTCTGTGTTTCGCTATTTCTCTCAGAATGTATGGCTATAGTATTATTCTATCTCAAGAGGCATTTCTCAGGCGGAATGCTCAGAAAATGGCTGCACACTGAACTTGTATGCAATCTTGGTGTGGTCGTTGCTTCCGCTGGGTTGTTCTCTTGCCATTTTGGTTGGGATGAACAGTTTCCTCCGAGAAAACACAGGCGGTTGTAGGTTTCGTGATACTTCAGGTAGTTTCCGTGTTGAGCATGTTTTCTCTCACTCGTTTTCGGTACTCTTGTGGGTTATCGAGGTCAATTGGTATATTGGGTCGGTGGTGTTTTTTTGTCTTCTGTGGGTTTTGTTTTCTGTGTGCTGTCTTCGAGTCCGATAATGATTGAAACAAATGTATCGTCATTTGGCATACCGCGTATGGCGCATCAAACCAAAATACGCCGCCATTTCTGCCGTTCCGCGCTAGACTATGCTCACTTGATGACTTATGCGATATGAATTCTGGGGATTGGCCGGAGCCACAAGCCAAAAAAGAAGCGTCTCCCTCCGCTTACCGGAGCACGAGCCACTGGCGATAGAAGTTCAAGTAATTACAATGTTTTCAATCTTTATCGATCATAAAATAACATAACTCACTCATTAAACACTGGCCAATTACTGACACTGACTAGAGGCTTATTGAATATTGATTCATTAGCCCATTACATGTCACACTAGCTGTGTCCTAGCGATATTTGGAAACTTATCTAAATAGGGCCTACAAGTACAAGTACAAGTTTTTGTTTTTAAATTTTATAGGCCTACAACTACAAGTTACAACAGTCAACACTATTTTCGGTTCTCATGCATGATCATGGCTACAATATTTACAACGAATCCAGAATCGGCTCAAGGATCTAATATAATTATTATTTACGACCAAATATCGTACCGAATATTAAAACCAATTCTAACATTAATAAAAGTATACATAAATCGCATAAACAATTTTTTAACATGCACGTATCCATCTTGAGTTGATAAGTGCCGCCCTCTCCTGCCAATAGATTCAGTCGATATAAACAAACGCTATGAGAAGTTATTCGTTTATTTTGTTATCTATTGATTAATTTACAGAAGTACATTGGTAAAAAAAATATCAATATAAGCTTGCAACGCTTTTCATCGTCAGTGCAATAACAAAAAATAGTTTTTAATTAAAATTGCAACTACTAGAAACACTGAAAACCACTGAAAGTGAAACACTCAAGACCTACTGTCCTGAACAGAAACACTGAAACAGTTACATAGTCTGTAGTCATGGTACTGCACATATACATACATTATGGTTAGAACTATTCGTCTATATATACAAATTTCAGAAATACTACTTGTTTTCTGCCTATATGCGCATTTCTTGTTTTATTATCACGTTTACGAACCTGTATGACCCATAAAGCTTTTTTACTGTCGAGAGATGTCGCTAGCATCTAGCCCACCAGATGTCAGTTGCAACTTGCAAAACACACTAGAAAGTTATCGAAGTTTCATATATCATCGTTGTTGATCCCGTGATAGTGTCTAAACGAAGACTATATAAGAAAATCATTGAATAATTGTCTTAACTACTAGACGGTCTATAGACGGTATATAGACGGGCTATAGTACTAGAGCTATGCTGGGTCGTACTGTCTCAGTTTGTGTGTAGTGGGGCACGGTGCAAATCCACTTTAGGCACCTTATCAGCTTATGTATCACGAAGTGATGCACAGATTTCTGTGTATCATCAACTGATGCACAGAATTTCCGTATATCAAGGAATGATACAAAAACCCTAACCCTAACCCCAACCCTAACCCTAACCCTAACAGTAACACACTTCGTGATACCTAAGGAGTAAGGTTATACTTTATGACTTAGGGTTAGGGTTAGGGTTTTTGCATCATTCCTTGATATACGGAAAGTTTGTGCATCAGTTGATGATACACAGAAATCTGTGCATCACTTCGTGATACCTAAGGTGCCTAAAGTGGATTTGCGCACCAAAGGGGATTGTGGCACAGCCACAGAACAAGCACACCGCCACAGGCACTGTTTCTATACTCTCTTTCACCTATTATTGCCGACAATTTTTTGTAAATGCCGTTCAAATGCTCATCTCAGACACTGGCTGTCAACAAACGCTGGCTGCGCTGCTGCACACTGACACAAATATATATATAGCAGGTAGGAAAGCGTGCTGCCAAAATTCGCTCGACGCTCGCTTGATTTCACACAAATACAACACAAATATTCCACATTCTACTTCATCTTTGTTTCTTTTTGAAGAACAGTGTTCACTTGTTATAAAAGCATACTGTCTTTGTTCGTAACCGAGCTGTGTCACGCGAAATCACACAAAGCCTGACGAAATTCTTGCATTTGCTATCGTTGTGCAGTTTATGTAAATGGCTGCAAGTACAGGGCACAGGCGGCGCACTGCATTTTGGGAAACTACCACGCTTTCCAACTCTCGTACGAGCCTCGTCAAAGCCGTCAGTGGAGCGTTGCAAAAATGTTGCGGCGCATAAATGAGATCACGAAGAGCGCCGGTGGGTGTTTCCTGATTCCGACAGCCATTTACATAAACTGCGCAACGGGAGCGAGCGTGAGAATTTCGTCAGGCTTTGTGTGATTTTGCGCGACACTGTTCGGTTACGAACACAGACAGTATGTTTTTATAACAAGTGAACACTGTTCTTCAAATAGAAACAGATGGAGTAAAATGGTTGAATATTTATGTTGTATTCGTATGAAACCAAGCGAGCGTCGAGAGAATTTTGGCAGCACGCTTTCCTACCTGCTATATATTTATGTGTCAGTGTGCAGCGGCAGCCAGCGTTTGTTGCAGATGAGCATTTGGATGGCATTTGCAGGAAATTGTTGGCAATAATAGGTGAAAGAGAGTATAGAAACATTAAGACTTTGGTAGTAAATAGATTTCGTATTTATTTAGCATTATATTTTATTGAAACGCTCCAAGTGCCTGTGCACACTGCACTGGATCGCACACACTGTATTGCGTATACTTGAAAACGACATATCTATAGGCATTTTGCAATCCGTCGTCATGTCCGGTGACGAAAGCAATGATGATGGCAACACAGACAAAGAAAACCACAACACAGCTGTGTGCTTGGCTTCAGAGTCTGAAACTGAAAATGAAGAAAATGAGGAATTGTTTGCTCAGAACTTGGGAGCATCTGCTGGCGATGTCAAGTCAAAGGCAGTTGTAAAATATTCAAGTGTAAGGACACCAGCCAAGTTTTGCGAACTTCAGAGTAACACTGATTTGAATAACCCTCCATCCAACTGGTTGCGGAGACAGGGTGCAAAGTTTGGTGTTAAAGGAACATGGACAATTCGCAATGGGCCAACAGAGTTTTCTAGGTAAGATGCTCTTTAACCAGGTTTTTATATATAAGCTTTAATTAATGTTTGCATAAAACTACTGTAATGATGCAAACAAACAGCCAAATGCACTTATCTCAACATTAGCCATGTAAATAAGATGTCCAACTGCTATTTGTTTGAACACAATATAATGTAAAAAACTGTTAAACACTGGGCAATTTTTGGGGAAATACAGATCATGCTGAGCTGCTTGGTCAATAGGCCACATTGTTGGACTCGGCAACAACGTGTGGTGGCAACCTGCCCTGCTATCAAGTTTCCAGCTATATCTAGATCACTGTCAATTGAGGAGTGATTATATCCTAGTGATCAATGTTAAAACAATGAGTGAACACCATTAGATGGGTACCCAGCACAGCTGCATTTAGTACCTGATGGGACAACGGCCGAATTAGTTTCATTATGTATCTACAGTGCTTTCGACAATGCCTATAATGTTGTTTTACATTGTTTCTTTTCCATTTCAGTTTGTCCATTGCAAACACATTTCCAGACTCGATTGGACAAGTAGATGTGATCAGTGATGCAGAGGTGTGTGCAGCGATTGATTCTATAGTGATGCAACATTTCCAGGAAGCTTTCCCATAAATTAATATTGTTTTATTCTAATTGCTATACTAATCAAAGTAGTTTTGTACACATCGTTATCGGCGAGTTATTTATATCTCTCAAAAGTTAAGGATACACTCGAGCTTTTACACGAAATTTTATCGATTTTCCATTTTCATTCTTATTCGATGGCTAACACTAGGTGCCACCTCTGTACATATTTATTTATTCATAAAACGATGCAAGTGAACTTTCAGAGCGTTTTTATTGCCTGCGTACATGTGTAGTGAGCCGTGGCCCTTTAAACACTGATGACGTCAGAGACATGGTAACCTCATAATTTCTTGCAATTTCTCAAGGTGCACAGAACATGGTTTCAGTTAGTCATGGATATATTGCAGTAAGTACTAACAGTAGATGTTTCAAATACATACACCCATTTTCCACACAGGCGGTCGATCGTTGTGAAAAATAGAAAAACACTGATTTTCTCTGTTTCGATTTCTGCCATAGTATTACTATTAGTAGCGGATGTAGGCCTATAAACAAATTATTTCTTTGCCATTACAACTCGGAATAATTTAATTTTACACTCGTTTTAATGGTATCACATTGTGAAAAATACTAGGGTTTTATATTAAGTGCCATCTTTTATGAGTCATCAGGGTGCAAAATTAACGGGAGTCCGGAGTCAAATACTCCCTGATTTACTGTCGGACTCCCTGATTTGACATATACAGGAGTCCGTGTGACTCCCTGAAAATTCTGCTATACTAACTAGTTCTTAGCATGAATCTTCAAAATAAGCACGTGTTATTGTTGTTATGCTTTAGTTTTGAATTTCAGACTGCGGACTTTCTCATTTTGCTGCGGACTCCTTCTTTTTGAAGGCAGGGAGTCCGTTGGACTGACTCCCTTGTTCAAAAGTTCATTTCTACCCCTGAGTCATGGTTCTTTATTTGCATAAATTTTCAAATCGAACATATGACTTAAATTTTAGGCAGTTATTTAATTTTTTTTGGGTATTTGAAACTTTAAGGAATGTCCTTAAAAGCACAATTTTGCTTTCATACTCTGTGGTAATTGAAAAATATCTAAAATATAATTTTTACATAAAAATTCTAAATTTGTGTTGTCACATAATTAGATGCTGGAAATATTATGAAATTTTTTGGCTTGTGCATAGGTACATATCATCTATAAATAAAATGTGTAATGGATTCGATTCGTTTGTCAATAAACGTTTACTCTTCATTAGAGTAACACCTATGAAAAAGCTCGAGTGTATCCTAAATGAGGTTTTTACCAATAATTAGTGTTGAGTATATGATAAACATGTAATGCAGGATTTGACGACGTACAAAGATGTTTAGTGTTTTAATATCTAGTTGCCACGACTATATTTACAGAACATCAAGAAACTTTTGAAGATGCCGTACAATGACTCTCACATGAGCATGATGGTTCACAGAGTTCATCGTACTCTATTGCTCGACGACTTTGACATACATCGCCATCTGTTGAGGACATCTGAAACAGAGTGGAAATGGCTACGGCGATTCTTTTACGAACAGGTTAGTATCAATGTTTCATGAAAAATTCAAATGTGAATTTAAATTGATACAACAAATTTTGTTTCTCAATGTTGTAAACAATAAAATCGGTGACACCTATCTGTTGATTTGAAATATTGGTAAAATCTTGCATGCATATGTACTAGTGGTGTAACGGTTAACCGCGGTTAACCGAAAACCGCGGTTTTTGCGCCACCATTCGGATATTCGAACCGTCGTTCCGTTTTCGGCTCGGTTTCGGTTCCACATTTTATATATACCCGATATATACGCTTTTGAGATACGCGCACTGCGATTGGCTGGTCGTAAACTCTCGGCCAATCAGCGAGCAGTTAACATTGATAGACCACTTGCTACATGCCACGAGAAGGTCAACGCGTTCATTTTGTCTGCAAAAATGACAATTTGTGTGTACCCGCTACTTCTGTGGCCAGTGAAAGAATATTCTCTACCGCAGGAGATCTAGTCACGGCCCAGAGATCATGCTTATCGCCTGATCAAGTTGATGTATTAATTTTTCTTAAGAAAAATATGTAACTGATGGTGACTACACATGTCATGAGAAGCACTAACACACAGTTATTGGGATTGTGTTTCTTACACCTAATCAATGAAGTACAAAGACACTGAGATGGACTATTGGACATATTTGCCTATTTGGTTACTTTTACTGAAGTCAAATATTTGAATTTCCTGTGCAAAAGTTTTGTTGAATTTGCCCTAACATTTGGGTATTGTATATTAAAGGTTTGTTGTTCAAAGACTTTTAGTGACATTATTATTTAATATTTATAAACCAGTCTGATTATTAAATTTGCACTTCTGTTTGGTGTTATAAGATTTGTAATTGATCGCAAATATTCGAACCGAAAATAACCGAACCGAAATGTGAAAACCGAAAACCGAACCGAACCGTGAAGTTGTGATTCGTTGCACCCCTAATATGTACGTGCATGTGTGTGTACAAATGTTTGGATATGTAATATAGATGATGAGTTTGCTAATACAATATTTAATCATTTAATGGATCGAAATTCTGAAATTCCAATACATAGGTTTGCTATCTTTGGGTTGATGGGGGCTAGCATGCATTAATGTGTTTGGGTAAAAACATTTATGTTGACACATATTACTACTATAATTGTCACAGCATATAGGTATTGATCGACCCGATAATAGCAGAGGTAGTCTTCAAAATAGGAGTATGTTCTCCAAGTTCCTCTACCACAGGTACGCATGTTGTTTTCCTCACTGGTATATATATACCCCTATTATCTACTTCTGATATATATATATATATATATTGGCCTACGTTGAACTTTGAACAACTTTGAACAACAAACTGTATCAATTAGTTTGTCTGAAATGTGACAATTTCATAGTTTAATTTAAATATTGATTTGGAAATATGGAAGTATCTTAACCTTTCCTATTTGCATTCCATGCAATTCTTTTTGCACAGATGTAATTAATTTTTATAGTCAACCATAATGTTTGTATATTGCTTGCTCAAGTGCTCGGCTAAGCACAGACAAAAGCACAAATAAGATTGTGCCAGATTGGCTTCAAATGTGTTGTTTTTGTTAACGTTGAGAGTTAATGCTGAGTAAGAGAAGAAATGAAGGCTTTTCTTCTGACTCATCTGATTCATCTGCATATACCACTCTCATTATTATGGAGGCAGCCATGCTAACAACTGATATGTCATGAACTGAACTGTGGACATGTGTTTTGTGCAGTTTGGCAGATGCCAATGTGGATGACTCATTGTCACCAGAGCCAAGGCACCGATCCAATTCCTTACCTGACCGCTACCACTCGGTGCTTTCTCCAGAAACTCATTGCCATCCACAGGCACACATCTCAAGGACACGGGAATCATCAAATAAAGATGTAAGTATAATAACAGATTGTTGAAAAACAATCTACATTCATATTTTCACCTCTCCTGCTGGTTTCAGAAAAGATGCAATATGTTAATGTAATTAAGGCTATGATACAGAAGCAGAATTATCTTGTTTCCTATCTGTAATACTAAAGACTTTTTTTTTCTCCAGTCAAAAAAGTCAGAGTTCCTGAGAAATGTTCTATGGACTTTTGAGGACATTAACATGTTGATAGGCACGGACATGCCCATATTTGGTGGTGGCACTCGTCCTGCAGTTAGCCTCAGGCTTCGGTAAGCTATAGATAGACAAGAAAATTCATATATATATTAATATAGAGTAGGTACACAGGTAGCAATAATTCATCATATACAAGGAGGTCACTCATTATGTATATTTATTAGCTCATCTGACGTAGTCAGATGCAGCTCGTAGAATCGCATGATCGTGCGTGCGTGCGTCTGTGCGTGCGTGCGTGCGTCAACAGTTGGGCACAAATCTAAACGGCTCGACGTATGGATTCAAAAGTCGGGACGTAGGGGGGTAATCCGAAAACGAGTTGGGATGTCGAAGCTGGGGGCCAAAGGTCAAAGGTCAAGAGGTGTAAAAGAAGGGGGAACATTCCCTCAACTTAAGGTATAGGGAGGAAATGCAGAATTGCGGCACAAATCTAAACGGCTCGACCTAGGCTCGTGATAGTCGGTGTATAGCATCATGGTAGGAAAAGCCATCACTGTGCCGAAATTGGAGGTAACAGGTCAAAGGGCAGTGGGGAAAAGGTCAGATATCAGACATTTTCTGAGGACATGGGCTAACGGACAGAGTGAAAAACTTTTCCCCACCAGCGCTGTTTCAGCTGTGTTTGTTTTAGCGCTGACCTACCATTTTTATCACTTTATTGAAAGGACCATGAAATGTGCTTTCCACTGACGTGCGAAGAGTAAGTGTCTGATAACCTTTTGACCCTGAAGAGAGGGTTAAACATGGATTCCTGAACTGCCTCAATGATGTCAGTGTTCTCATATTCATGGCACATCCATAATCTGGAAACCCAATATGCCTCGATAGCCCAATGGCTACAGCACAGGATTCTGGCTCAAAGGTTCTTGGATCGAATCCCATCAGATTTTTTATTATTTACCTGTTTTCTGTATTTTTCTATCTTTATCCATTTAACTATTTCTTTCCAATTAAGGAAAATATTTACATGATTTATTTACAACAATTTCATAACAACAAATAATTTTTACAACAATTAAATAATTAAATTTTATTTAATAGGGTTAGGGTTAGGGTCACAATGCACCATAAAACAGGAGTTTCAGGCACGCAATTTGTATCAACCAATGGGATTTGGGAGGTATGCAGAATGCAGAAGGTTGCTGAAATGATGTGTACGCAACTGCGTATCTGCATATCTGCGCCTAACAAAGGTGTCACTATGCACGACTTAAATGTTACGTTTATAACCGTAGCAACATACCTCAGAAGAGCCCAGACGCTCTGTGGCTCTTGTATTAGAATTCTAATGACTTAAAATACATTGTAAATACACAAGCTGCACATGGGAAAATGTTTCCTGCAGTGTGTACCTAGGTCATTAATCATTTGTACTGAGACGTTCTGAGGCTATAATATGTTTGTACAGGGATATGGGGAAGCCTATTAATGTACTTACTGGGATGGACTACTGGTTGGACAACCTCATGTGCAACGTGCCTGAGCTTGCTATGTGCTACCACATTGATGGCATCGTGCAGGTAACTACATAGTTGTAATGAACAGTGACACTGACATTTACCCCTTATTTAGACAAATTCGGTAGATTGGCAAGTGGTGTATGTGAAAATAAATGAAGTATATGTCATATGTGTAACCAGTTCCTGTTTGTAAGTTTGTTAAAAAAAATTTGTATGTGGTATTAGACTTAATGTTAACAGTGTCCTATGCGGACATTTTCTTACGGAAGGAATGACATGTTTGTACGAGTGAGAGAGTGCAAAGAGGGTTGGAATGTTATGGCAATATTGTTTCATGAAATACTGTCAATTTCTTATAGTGACAAACCTTTTTGTTAGTAACTTGTTATTGCAACTGTCTGTTTGCTAGAACAGTTTACAATATCTCAGTTGGTATAAGCCTCATACTGTGTCATTACATTTTGCAGTATTATGAGTTGATGAAGACAGAGGATATTCCTAATTTGAAGGAGTCAAAGTTCTCTCCCATTGTTGTGAAAGACATCGCACAAAATATTCTGTCGTTTCTCAAGTCAAATGCTGCTAAGGAGGGTCACACATATTGGCTTTTCAAAGGTGTGCATGCGTTTATGTGTGTGTAGTAGACCTTGGATGTAGTTTTATTTCTTTGTACACACACACACACACACACACATTATATATAACTAGACAGAGGGCACTCACAGAGAGTGCATACCTCCGTGAGCGTGTAACATGTATGTGTATAACAGCTGGCTCGCTGCTGGCTGCTGCTGACTGGGTGCCCTAAGGCGAGCTGCTGCTGACTGGACACCCTAAGGCGAGCTGCTGCTGAATCGATCGCGCCAACGCTACACACACACACGAACACACACACGAGACTGATTACATGACCTCCGTTGCGCGGAGGTAAATATATAGAAAATAGATAGGTAGGCAGGCAGACAAGCAGATATACAAACACTGACAAACAGACAGACAGACAGACAGACAGGCACAGACAGATATTACGTGTGCATTCACGTGCGTACGTGCTTGTAGCCCGTAGCCCGTAGCCCATTTCAGCTACGATATTACTTACTCACTCGTTCACTCACTGATCGCCCTCACCCCTCATTCCCACACTCTACTCCGTCATCGTCGTCGAACCTACCGTGCGTCCGCAGGCAGCAACGATGACATAGTGAAGCTCTACGACCTGACGACGCTGTGCGGCGCCGACACGGACGCTCAGCGGCGGGAGGGGCAGCGGGCGGAGGAGGAGGAGGAGGAGCAGGTGGAAGAGGAGAACCCGTTCACGGTGCCCGTCGCGATGCTGCTCTACCGCGTCGCGCGCAACATGGCGGCGGCGCCCGATGGCCGCAGCCACACGAGTGACATCTGCAAGCTGCTGCGCAACTGTATCCGTCTGCTGCAGAGCGACGGACGGCACGCGGACAAGTCGGAGGCGAGTAGCTCCATGGAGTGTGTGTGGAGGGGGGGTCGTACACTATATACATTATACTGTGAATCTATACCCCGGCAAATAGTTGGCGGGTGTTTGGTGGGTGGAGTAAGGGCTGGCAGTAATGTCTGCAATTATTCACCTTGGAGAAACCCAATTATTTACTCCCTGTATGAAAACCAGATCGGGTAAAACAAGATGCGTGCGTGGCGAGAGCAAAGTAGGTTAATTACTTTCCTTTTTCTGGCTCCTTATCCTCTCCTTTCCCGTTTATATTTATGCTCGTTATATTTCTCAACAGATAATCGCTTCTGCAAACTATATGTTGTCGGACTTCCTCTTGCCAGCTGAGGGATACCTGAACAACAAGCAGAAAGAATCTGGAACAGGTTCTGCTGGGGAGGAGCCTTCCATCGTTGTCTACAAGGATATCAGCGATGAAGATAGCAACTATCACTTGCGTGTAAGCAGCCTGAAAGGCGTGTTACTATGTTAATCCCAGCAGCAAAGGAAACGTCACCACTGGAATATCCGTATGCCGATTGAATCTCTGCTTCTGGTAAACACAAACGTGGGTCGTTCTGTAATATTCGTGATAATCCCATGTAAATTGGTGTCTCAATATCACAAATGGTTACCGATTAAACTCTGCCAGAGAAAAGAAACAGCACCCCCTCCCCTCTAGAATAATTTCGCTACGTTGGTAAAGCTAACCTAATTTGTGAGTATTACATGCTAAAATATCGATCTAGTGGCACGTCGTTACAAAGCATTGTTTTTAGAATGTTTTTTTAACAATGCCGGTTGACTAGACCTGGATATCAATCATGCCATGTCGGTTGTCTCTGGTCAGTTTCCGATGAGACGTGTTTGTCTAGCAGGCAGACATCAGTGTGACAGTCAAGGCTTTATGCATGCCTGACCAGCCGACGTTTGCTGATCAGGAGTCAGAGCGACCACAGTACATGTACGAGAGCTTGGAGGACCGTTGCCTGGCCGCTCTCAAATACATCGCACAGGTAATTTTCATGCCCGTTACTAGCATGCTGCATTCCATATTTGTAATGGTTTTATTTAGAATTAGCTAGCGGATGAGAGATAGATTTATACAGCTGGACTATTGCCTGGCTGCTTTTAAATACATTACATGGGTAACCTTCATGCCCGTTACTAGCATGCTACGTTCAATATTTGTAATGGTCCCATTCAGAATTGGCTAGTTAAAGAGAGAGAGAGAAAGTTAAAATTATATATGTGGCTCATAGAAAGATGGACGAAATGTCCGGGGTAAGAAATTAGAGCGGATGCTTAAAAAATACGACCTCAAAGCATCGGTTGTTAAGTAGATGACTAAATGATGATGAATCCCAGGGCCTGACCTACGTGGAGAAGAGCTCATGGAGCCGGCAGGACACGGTGAATCCCCACTTCCCGATACCGCTACCGTACGAGTCTCTCGCGTCCCCGCGCACAAATTCGCCCGTGCCGGAGTCAAGCCTTGAGAGTCGTGTTGCCACGAGCGACCCGATCCAGGAGAGAGTTGCTGTGAGGTCTCCGCTTTCAGACGGGCCGCCACCTAACTCCTGGCAGTATCAGCTGAAAGTGAGTTTTTGCATTGAGTTTAATTTGCTCTATTAGGTTAGTTTATAAGTGTGACCAAGAGCTAGTTACACCTGTTCTTAGCTGTTATTAGTAGAGGTGTTGTTAGCTCTCGGTGTGATGAAAATGCGCAGGCTGTGTACTTCAAAAAAAGCCTGTTTAGCGAGAAATGAATGGTTGGGAATATTACGTTAGATGCTGTAACTTTGAACCACGTTTTAACTTACCAAAGTTATTTAAGATTAAGTGGTTATAATGTGTTTTTTACCGGTTTTTATTGTGTGTTTTTCTCTCTAGGTGCTCCTACTTCACAAAGCCACCGTTGCATGGCATACCCTAGCGGAGTCTGCTAGCTCACTTAACAAATTTGGCCGTGCCCTAAAATACATCAAGTTGGCCTTGACTTGTCTAGGTGAGTCATTGCAAGTATTTTTCACATGTAAATTCAGTGTGGGTACCCTATGTGCACACTCCGATGTTATGTAAGTATAAATGCGACCGGAGGATAATTTCTCTGTCACATAATGCGCAGGTGTTCCCTAAGGCGTATATGCCTGTGCATGGGCTATGGTTATGCGCTATGGCTATGGCTATGCGCTATGGCTGTGGCTATGCTGTGCATGGGCTAGGCATGTGCATGTGCACCATTCCTCACATGCTCACAATCGAGTTCAAATTGTATCTCCGCTGTTTCGTTCATGGGCGTTAACTATGTATTCATGCGCAATGTTCCACTCTCATGCCTACAGACGTCTCTGCTCTTATGAGCATTGAGTCAGCAAGAGCACTAGGTTGTGACATCACCTTTATGAGCAAGTGTTAACAGCATCCCATTCTTGTAAGCGCAGAGGTGGCAAGAGCACTATGTAGTGCTATCACCTTTATGATGTCACCTTTTTTGACGCATGCAACAAATGTCTTGCTCTTGTAAGAACAGAGGTGGCAAGAGCGCTATGTAGTGCCATCACACTCGTTAGCAAACGTTAACAAATGTCAAGAAATGTCCTGCTCTTGTAATTACAGAGGTGGCAAGAGCGCTGTGCAGTGCCATCGTTCTCATGAGCGTGTGTTAAGACCGTCCCCTTTTGTTATTACAGAGGTGGCAAGAGCACTGTGCAGTGCCATCGTTCTCATGAGCGTGTGTTAAGAATGCCCCCTTCTGTTATTACAGAGGTGGCAAGACCACTGTGCAGTGTCATCGTTCTCATGAGCGTGTGTTAAGACCGTCCCCCTTCTGTTATTACAGAGGTGGCAAGACCACTGTGCAGTGCCATCGTTCTCATGAGCGTGTGTTAAGAACGTCCCCCTTCTGTTATTACAGAGGTGGCAAGAGCGCTGTGCAGCGCCATCGTTCTCATGAGCGTGTGTTAAGACCGTCCCCCTTCTGTTATTACAGAGGTGGCAAGACCACTGTGCAGCG